ACAAAAAAAAAAACTTACCCAATCCGATTGCGCCACGTGGCGTCTCTTAGCCTACCAAATGTATCTTCTCCAACATACGTATCTTAGCAATATTAATGTTTTTTGATTTATTTATTTTGATTAAAACCCTTAAATCCCCCTTAAAACCTGCCTATAATGTTGGTCTAAATATAGTGATTTGTGTGACTGTTGTTTGTTAAATATAGTGATTTGTGTTACTGTTGTTGCGTGATAATTCAATCATAAGCACGTTATCGACAAAAAAAAGGTGCATCCAGTAAAAAGTTGGTTTCTTACTTATGAGGAAAATAAATATAAACTTGATTTGAATGGTTCGTCGTCGATAATAATACAAACCAAGCACTCAAGATCAACGCCAATCACTTTTGGTACTCTAAACACGCTGAACAATCTTGGATATTTTCTTAGTGTTGCCATAAAATGTTCCGTACGTACAAGCGACAAAGAAAGAAATACAACCCTTGGCAATATGAAACGTTGGAGTTGTACACGACTTGTATTCTTCCACATAAAAAAAAGACGTCTTTAAAAAAAAAAAAAGTGAATTTGACAAAACCAATCAAAATATTTTTCTTTTGTGAAGTGTGAACTGGATCAATATTAATCGAATTAAATCGAGCCAGATCAAACCAATCCAATTAAGTTGATCAAAGTTTTAAAATTGAACATACAGACATGCGCGACATGCATATACACACCAATATATTTTACCACTTCCACTGTACTGCTTGGGAAAATTTACTCACAGTAGTGTATCAAAATGTGTGTTAAATTGTGATTTTTGTTTTCATAATGACATTCTCTTCCTGAAAACGAGAACAATGCAAAATATGATTTATGGTTATTAGTGTAAACAATAATCATCTTAACACAGCTAAACATTTTAAAATTCATAGATGAAGATCCTTAAAAATATATAGGCATGGAATGGTCGTATAAATCAGATTTCATGTTCGTTTGATTATGGAGATATTCCAACGGCATCAACAACTAAACCAGACTGAATCAAATTCATTATATACCCTATATTCAATTATCTCATACCAAATAAAACTAAGAGATGCACCAAACCGACTTGGAAGCTTCTCATACCTGATAAATGAGCCTGAACCAGTCCCCACTTCCTAGTTTCCAAACTTCAAATTCTAAAATCCGAATATCCCACTTTCTAACTAGAGATATTTTCACTCATCTCATGTCGTGTAGTATCGTACAACTGTTTACTCAGTGCCTCGTTGACCATATAATGGATTTGAGTCTTTAAAATGGAGAACTCAAGTTGAAAAAAAAAAAAAAAAAAAAATTACCACCTAACAAACGCTTTAAAAAAAAAGTAAACCATGCTCGTCGTCTATATAATTTTTTAATAACTTAGATAATTAACGTTACGGAAGCATGAACTATATATATCATGCTTAATTGAAAGAAACAACTGGCCAAAACCAGCCACTACTAGTCAGTAATCAATTAATCATCCTAGTTGACCATATTCTAATTACCACCTTCAAGTTAAATATCCTCCTATGATATGATATGAAGCAGCAATTTGCATTAAATAGAAAATTCTTTAATTCCTAAATGACATTTATCTTTAAAAATTAAATGAAAAAACCGTAAAATCATCCACTGCTGCCACACCTACACCGTAGGTGTCCCTTTCGTACTTTCTCATTCTAAAAATCTTTTTATTATTATTATATTTTTTTCTTTTTGAGACAAACTAATTAATATTATTAAAATAGATACTTTTTACAAAAACGATAAAGTCGGAAAATAATAATAATAATAAGCGTAACCTTTTACCTTTAAAACCGTACGTAGAGAGCTCAACGAACCTACAACACCACTCAAAAATATCTCTCTTCTTCTTCTTCTTCTCAGGATCTCCGCCAATGGGTTTTGGTAGATCTTCTTCATCTTCTCCTTCGTCTTCCTCAGCTCTGAAATGGCTTGGTTTCGTTACAGCCGTTTGGGTCCAATCTATCTCAGGCAACAATTACACCTTCTCAAATTACTCCGACGCTCTCAAATCCCTAATGAACCTCACTCAATTAGAACTCAACAGTCTCTCCGTCGCTAAAGACATCGGAAAAGCCTTCGGAATCCTCGCCGGACTTGCTTCTGATCGTCTTTCCACTCCTGTCATCCTCCTCATCGGTTCTTTCGAAGGTCTTATTGGTTATGGTGTACAATGGCTCGTCGTTAGCCGCACGATCCAACCTCTACCTTATTGGCAGGTACTTTTAAATCAAGATTCTCCTAAACAAACCCTAATTTCGTAACTGTATAACCCTAATTTTGTTGATGCTTGTTGTTCACGAATCGTGTGTAGATGTGTGTGTTTCTCTGTATGGGAGGAAACAGTTCGACGTGGATGAACACGGCGGTTCTGGTGACTTGTATACGTAACTTCCGGCGAAACCGTGGTCCTGTATCTGGGATTCTTAAAGGATACGTTGGTTTAAGTACTGCGATTTTCACTGATCTATGCACTGCTCTGTTTTCCTCTGACCCAGCTTCGTTTCTTGTTCTCCTCTCCGTCGTACCTTTCGCCGTTTGTCTCACGGCGGTCTTTTTCCTCCGTGAAATACCTCCGGCTAGTACCTCCGCCGAGGATAACGAAGAGTCTAAATACTTCGCCGTGTTTAACATCGTTGCCGTTGTTGTTGCCGTGTACCTTCAGTCCTACGACATCATCGGAATCAAAACGGGAGCTATCTCTATCGCATTCGCCTCTGTTCTTATGATCCTCTTAGCTTCTCCTATTGCCGTCCCATTCCATGCTTTCATCCGGAGCAAAGATAACGATGAGCAAGACGTAGAAGGACGAATCGACGAACCGTTACTGAGATCAGGATCAGAGATTGCGGTGGAGGAAACAATCGTAGGTGCTGCTGCCGCAGCCGATAACGAGCTGCCACCGTCTCTGAAACCGTTAAAGAATGAGGAGGAAGAGAATGACGGAACCGTGGTGACGACGGAGAAGAAAAGGCCGGTTCTTGGAGAAGAACACACCATAATGGAAGCGTTGTTGACTGTTGACTTTTGGGTGTTGTTTACGTCCTTCTTGTGTGGAGTAGGTACTGGTTTAGCTGTGATGAACAACATGGGTCAGATCGGGCTTGCCCTTGGTTACACAGATGTTTCCATGTTTGTCTCCATGATGAGCATTTGGGGGTTCTTTGGTCGGATTCTCTCCGGTACTATCTCCGAGCACTTCATCAAGTAAGTAGTCACTTTACTACAAACCCTCTTTGTTAAGAAACTGATTTAATAATTGGAAAGAGAATGAAAACATAGATCTTTGTTAAGTTGTATAACGTGACTTGGAAATTAGAATATTCTCATTGATCACTTTATCCACACGCAATCAAATGCAAATTTGAGTTGTGTCAGTTTCCTCTGTTTCACCTTTGATTTGCCGCTAAGCCAGAGAGTTTATTACTTTCCTCTTCTGTTACCTTTAGAATTAGATATTTTCCCCACTTTACATAATATTTCTTTCATACGATTTTATTCAATTAAAGCTTGACATGTTATTTCCTCCTTACAGAGAAGTTTCCTTGTGCCCGGGGACCATAATAAAAGTTTTCGAATTTTTGCGTTTGAAGTATCTTTTTAGATTTTCTTTAGTCTTTACTTGAGAACTCTACATCGTGGGACCTTGACTAATCTTGCTATTAGTAAGGGAACTTTTCTTTGCATAGACTAATCTTGACATTGTGATTTTTTTGTTTTGTTTAATTCTATAGGAAAGCTGGCACGCCAAGACCATTATGGAATGCAGCAGCTCAGATCATCATGGCCGTAGGATATCTACTAATGGCTTTAGCAATGCCTGGTTCACTTTACATCGGTTCAATGGTGGTTGGGGTTTGCTATGGAGTCCGGTTAGCCATAACCGTGCCAACAGCATCAGAACTCTTCGGTCTCAAATACTATGGACTCATCTACAACATCCTTATACTTAATATGCCTCTAGGATCGTTCCTATTCTCGGGTCTACTCGCGGGTTTACTCTACGATGCTGAAGCCACACCGACTCCTGGTGGAGGCAACACATGTGTAGGAGCTCATTGTTTCCGTCTCGTCTTCCTTGTAATGGCGTTTGCATCCTTTATTGGGATCGGTCTTGACCTTTTGCTTGCGTTCAGAACCAAGGAGATCTATGCGAAGATCCATGCAAGCAAGAAGACTAAGAAATCTAGTGGTAATCTTCGATGAGCTTAAGTTGAAAACTTGGTTTTTGTTAAAATCATTTTTTTGGGGGAACGTTAGTTCTATAGTAATATGTAAATCTTTTTTTGAAAGTTTGTAATGTTCAGTTTCATTAGAAGCGGTGATTGTACATGTGTACACTTATGCTCACTATTGTTAAAGTCGGTTAAAAAGTGTTTGAACCGGTTGGTCGGTGTAAGTTCAGATTATGGTGATCAATATTTCATGATTACCTTAAAACTTTGTCCACATTTTCGCGATTTAATATTGTACCCTGATGATTCAATGATATTATGAAGAAAAGCGTCTGAGTAGTATGTGTAATTAGAATATAGGGCCAATAGTGACCTGTGGCACCTGTGACTTAGATAATGTTTGATCATTTATTAGAGATTTGCATATTCTCACTCTTATTAGTCATTCCTCCTTGTGTAATACATGTGACCTTGCGTAAACATTAAATTGGAATGCTAGTGTACAACTTAAACGTGTTCACATATAGAGAAAAATGTGAAAAACTAAAACTAATTAAAACCGATTTTGAAGTAAAGAGAACAAACTTTGATCAATATAGTAGTATCGACTTACAACATGGTCTACACACTTGTAACACCGTCTATGAGCATCACCAATGTAATATATACACAGAGCTTCATCAAACGCTGGAGAAGACTAAATGAACACACCAAAGAAGAAAACAAAACTTGTGAGTTGAACAGCAAAATGCAGACTAAGGCAAGAATGTTCATACTAGAGAGTGAAGCTTTTTCATATATATATGTCAATGAAATCCTCTTGACCCTCTAGATTGGTAAAGCTCCAATCTACTCTTTGCTTCTGGTAAAATCTCGTCAATCGTCGGTGCTTCAACCAAATGAGCTTGCTTTGTCGACCATTCAAGAACTACGAGAACCTCTTCTTGGGCTAGTGTCTCACTGTCCGGTACATTCAATGCGATATAACAAAGTAGTATCAATGCCGGGACTTGAACCATCTGTTCTCCAAAGTAGACCAATTGAATCAAATGTTTTGCACCTCCTGCTGCTATGATCGCTTTCGAGTGGTTATCACGCAAGAAATTGTCGGTACATGAGAATTTAATTAGCGCTACTGCGGCTTCCATTGAAACCTCTGCTTCTCTTTCATCAAGAAGCTTCACAAGTGGTCCAATGATCCTTGTTTCCGTTGCACGGAACGTTCTTGAAAGACTACCGATTGATTTGATGCAGGGGATTAGAAGTTCCGGTATTTCGTTATCGATCACCTTAAGTAATTGTTCTACCACAGCTTTTGCAGCAGGAGAGGTTGGTTTGAAGGCTGAACGTCTTAGTTCTGGATACTGCTCAGCCACATCTGTAATTTCCATCATTGCCAAGGAAGAATATGACTTGACTTCATCGTCTCCTTTCTCTAACAAAACGGCGAAACAGAGCAATGCTCTTGACTCTGTTATGCTTCTGCATATTTGGAGATTCCCTCTTGAGAGTTGCCACAATGCTCTTGCCGCCATTGCCTTCATCTGAGCTTTCGTAGCTGGATCCTCATACTCTCTTCCCTTAATGCTTGTCCCCATTAAAGAAACATGTGTTGGATTGTTTCCTCTCGGGTTAGAACCACCCTTGGTATGATTCTGGTGCTGTTGATTGCTCTGTTTTATCTGATTCTTGTTAGTACCCGAAACTGAACCTGAACCTGAACCTGAACCTGAACCTGAACTCTGACCCGAACCCTTCATTGCCAATGTGTTTGTAATCAAGCTATGCATCTGACTCGGTGTCTGATTACTCATAGGACGTGAGATATTGCTTTTTGTCTCATCTTGGTCGTTGCTCTCTTTCTTCTCTGATGGGTTTGTATTACTTGCCATGACAACCGTATGAATCGAGGACAACGTCTGCTTGTTACTCACGATAGCGTATTTGCTATGTTCTTGAACCGTCTCAAAAGCTAAATGGCTTACAAGGAAACGAATGATGTTGTTCTGAGCGAAATGGTCTTGACATTTAGGATGATTAGAAGCTAATTCAGAGACAGCCCAAGCCACAACGGTTTGAACTTTCATATGACCTTCTTTGAGAATCTTAGCAAACACTTGACACACACCTGCGTTCACAATCTGTTCAACACTCTCTGGATCACGTCCTAATAAACCAATGGCCCGAGCCGCGTTCTCTTGACCTTCCATCTTACCTTCTTTAGCAAGCTTCAACAATGGAGGTACACCACCTTCTTCGATGATAAGCCTCCCGTACCGATCATTGTCACGAGCCAGCGACACGAGCGAAGCCGCTGCATCTGATCTATCATCGAGAGAGCCTGTGAAGAGAATCGCCACTTGTTCCCAAATCAAACAGAGGATTGGTTCGTTAGCAGCGATAGGCGGGAGCCCTAGATACTCATCGTCACGATCATCCCCTGAAGCAGAGACACGGAGGAGCCAAGAGACGTCTCCGATTGAATTCTCTAACTGCATCGTGATCTTCCTAAACGCAGCCGCGGGGATAATGGTGAAGACACGTTTCATCAGTCCCGTGGCGCGGCATTTTTCTACGAGCGCTAGGGCTTTGAAGAGGACTTGCTCTGTATCGTCAATGATACGTCGCGTGGGACGTTCGTAAAGATCGTTACTCGCACGCGCCGCTTGACGGAGGAGACCGGCGAGTTTTTCCGTTTTGGCTTTGACCTCTAAACATTCTTGACGGAACGAGTAAGCTTCGTCCGACGCTTTAGTTACCTGATCCGCTAATTGAATCGGTCTCACTAAGATCTGTTTCACAATATCCGCCATGAGAAAAAACAAAAATCAAGGACAACTCTATAAACTTTGATGTTGATTAATGACGATGGTGGTTTTGATCGCCGGAGACGACGGTGAGGGGAGGCGGAGAGAGAGAGAGAGAGAGAGGGAACAAGGATATTGGTGAAACGTTAATTTCTCCGAAGTTTACAAGGAAGAAGAAAAGGCTCTCTAAATATAGTCGTTTTATATACAGAAACTGAATCGCATATATACTTCAGTATAATTATAGCAACATAAAATTATTCGAATGAATATTTGAGATTGTTGGTGAAGACTATATATATATAACGGTCCAGTGGTGACTGAGATGAAGAAATCCAAATACCATTTAGTGTTTCAACCAACATGTGGTAGGCCGTATAACATAAATGCTAATTGTGAAGAGTTTGTTGATGAGTCATAATTTTTGGTACGTTTGGAAGGAAGCAAATTGTGGCACAACATAACACAGTCAAGGACACACCAGCTTGTGTTTGTCTCTCTTTAGTAAACCCTTAAACATCATATTTTAATTCTTAGAAATGTCTAACATATTTAGGGTTGGTTATAGAGTGGTTCAGAAGTATGTCATATATACTTTTTTTCATTTTTCGTTTTTTAGGTTATATCTTTTGGTTAACCATCCATTAAAACATTTGTATTCGACTCAAGAAAACTAACGATCTAATCGTATGCTACAATCAGAACGGCAGTGCTCGAATCATTTACAAATTTAAGGAAGGTACACAGCGAAATTCACAGTGATGACTTTGTAGATAATGTGACTTACAATACACGCAACAATAAACCAAAGAAATATATTGGTTGCAAACGCTGGTGAAATTTTGGAGATTGATCAAGCTTGCCCTTCGATTCTTGAGTGAGTGAGCCCGACGCAAGCATCGACGAAATCTTCATCGATGAAATCAGTTGACAGAATCTGCAACTTATCACCACATCCCTTGGCAACACACTGAGATATAAAAAGCCTAGCATGTTTTCTGATCCGATCAGTCACAGGTTTAACCCACACAACCGGGTTATCTGCTTGCGGCGTAACGGTGTTCTCAACCCGGTAAAAGAATTTTCTAGAAGATATCGATTGCTGCTCGCCTAGATGCTTCAAGTTGCTCTGAAATTTCGTCCAAGGAAGATCCGTATCAATCCAATTATCTTTTAGATAATCTGAGTTCCAGAGGATTCCACCACGGCTCGGCTTCGGAGACTCTCTAGGTTTCCAGATGCAGATGACTCTTTTCGGCAAAATCTCTGATACCGGCTTGTGGAACAAGTTATCATCTTGATGTATCAAGAACTCACCTAACTTGTCCGACAAGTAAGTCTCGAACTCTGGAGGGTCTTTGTGTCCGAACTCCGTCCTTATCTCCAATATTAAAATCTCCGAGTGAGTCTCCGACAAGAATCTGATGACATCATTGATGACAACATCAACGTCGTATGACGTCAGAATCCCATGGCAGATTTGGCGATCCTCTTGAACACGGATGTCGAGAACACGCGTGCCGAGGACAAGCTGGTCGTAGATGGATAGCGTCTGGCATTCAGCTAAGGGACGAGAGATGAGAGGTATTCCGATATCGTTGGTGGCTGAATCGTGCGTCCCTGGCCACACGATCTTGTTAAGAGTTAGTTTCTCCAATGTTAGACCAGCCATCCAGTTTTTTCGATCGGACGGACGGTAGTCATCGCCAGGGAAATGTGAACCGTCGGATTGTTCGAGATCGTTTAGGGTTTTTTCCTCATGAGAGACATCTTTTTGCCGGTCGATCTGGTTGGAGATGAAAGAGAGCATGTTTGGAGAGATGAATGATGATGATGATGATGAAGATGAAGAAGTAGAAGATAAGGTTTCTCTTGTGGTAGGGTTCAGTTATATAAATCAGAGATATATCGTGTAGTGTTTGTCTTAAACGTGTGAAACTTTCAATCAAAGACAAATTTATTTGTTGTGGGTTAGTTAGAGTTTTTGACTTCTTAATTCAAATTAATTGGCTGTCTAATTAAAAAGTTGCTAACAGTTTCTTTAAGGTCATGATTAACTTTAGAGTTGTAGTTAATATAACGAATTTAGGATGTGTTTGTGTATAATTAAAGACTAACTTGGTCTATAAAACATGTATTGTATTAGGTTGTTTCTTTATCTTTATCTTTTTCATTATTAAAGGTTTGGCATAATTAATTATAAATTTAATTTATTATTTGAAGTTCTTTTTAGAACTTTCCGTCGTAGTGTGAATCTTAATTTCTATATAATATATGTAGCGAAATAATAAATTAATATAATATATGTAGCGATTACATAAGAAATCACTCTAACATAAACTGTTATTGTTAACTGTAATTATTTTGGATAATGATATACAAAACATCAGGGTAGTGATAGACAATTACAATTGATTTGCATTCCGTCAATTTGGTATAATTAAATTATACACAATCAGTCAATGACACGTGGCAAAATGTTCGGACAATAAATGTGCAAGGCTGCAAATGATATAGCCATCATGAATATTGAATTCAAAAATATCCAAATGAGTATGTGGACTAAGAACATTTTGAACCCTACAGAGATCCTCGTCATAAGATTGATTACAAACATCTTATATCAAACCAAAACTCAAAAAGCTAATATGCTCACAAAACTTTTGTCTCGTGATGCTACAAGAATAGAGCTTTAAGGCGATTGCTCTTGTCTGTCTTGTTTTGTGTGATTTATAACGAGTCAAAATTTGGTTACACATAAGAAAAATGAATAAACTTAAACAGTCTTATGTTTCTTGTGTTTGGTCGAGCCATCGCTAGAATCTTTGCCATCCTTCTTCTGGCCAACACCGCCACCATGTCCTCTCTTAGATCCCTGGTTGATTGACGAAAGCAAACAGCAGAGAAATGTTTAGCACAAAATACACACAAAGCAGAGAGAAAGGAAAAGTTCAGTTATGTTTTACATTGGGGTTGAAGGTTTTGAGTGGGTCGCTGCCTTTTCTGGAACGTTTCTTGTTTTTGTTGTTGCGACCACCACCGGATCTCCTAGAGTTTCCCATTGCGGCTCCATTTAGCTTCACCATCTTGCTTGCTTCTTGAGTCTTTGGGTCCACTAGATACTCGGGGACGTCTTTTAGATGTGGTGCAGGCGCAGTCTTACTCAGAGGCTTGTCATGTCTCAACAGATCTAAGTCTCTTGGATTAGCTTCAAAATGAGTTTTTAACCTGAAGAAAGATATAGATATATTATGAAGACGAAAAGAAACTCAGAGAACAAACATCACACCTTAAGAACAGTTATGTTCTGGCTTACTTTTCGGAGTTGATGATCTCATTCCTCAAATCCTGAGCTCGAGACTCTCGAACAGCTACCTTTGTAACACTCTTTGCCACATCCTGCAAAAAACTTGCAACTTTTACTACTACTCAACTTTTAATACTTCTTAAGAAGCAAGCATATCTTACTACAGAGTTTACTCACCTCAGCTCTATATCTAAGAGACTCGACAGCATTTTCAGTCAACAAAGGGAAGGGTGTGATAATATCACTATCCTTGTTCTTGTCGCTTGCTAAGAAGGACTTTATAGCTTCAAACCCTTCCATCTCATCAGGAGAAACCTGTGGCAAACAAAACAGAGCATTAGACTTGCAAAAACTGAAGAGATCATGCCAATAAACAGTATTATTAGACGAGAAACTCACAAGAGAAACAGAAGAACCGCTGCTATATGCTCTCCCTGTACGCCCAATTCGATGGATATATCCAGTAACACTTTGAGGCATATCAAAGTTAATGACCTATTGCATAAAAAAAGGTTTCAGGAAATGTTAAGAATCGCGAGCAAAGAAAACAAGGAAATTCTTTTCAAGGTTCCAAATAGCAAAGAGAACAAATATAAGGAAAAGAAAATCTCCTTGGCCAAAACCGAGTAGCATACCGTGTGAACTTTTTTGAAATCAATTCCCCTAACTACACTGAACTCAGCATCCAGCTTCGGTTTTCTTCGCTTTTTCTTGTTCTCCTTGTCATCCTCACCTTTAGCCTCTTCCTTTTCTTTCTTAGTCTGGCTATTATCATCCGTTGCAATCAAGTAATCAAAAAGACCTGCATTGAATTGCTGTACAAAAATATATACACTTATTAATTATGAACACACCTGCTGTCAGGAAAACTAAATCTAGGTGTGTGACTTGGTGATATACCTCAAGGATATGAAGCCGAGAATTCTGAGGTAACTCCCCATTTAAAATTGCAGACTTGATTCCAAACTGGCAGAAACAAAACAATGAATTCAATGTTATAATTACAGGTACAATATTATAAATCGGAATGGTCAAATAGGTGACCAAATCTTACCTTTTCCAAGAATAATTTCAACTTGAAACCCATGTCTATCGTATTGATGAATATCAGAATTTTTTTCTGAACAACTTCTAACTTCAAGAGAGCAAGAATGTGAAGCAACTTATCCTGAGCACTGCAAGAAATCTAAGAAAAGATAACACACTTCTCATCATCATTAATCAGACCCACAACTGTAAACTTATAAACCAAACATAGTGCAAAACTGATTTAAACAAGTATAAGAGAGCGACTCATACCCAAAACTGCTGAACATTACTTGGGACAGGCTCCTCCTTATCACTATCTTCTGTCAGCGTCAAAACGATTGGGTTGTGGAGAATCAATTTCTTTAACTTTTCAACATCAGAACTAAGATTTGCAAAATATATTATTCAGTCAGCCATTCAAGACAACCTTCGGAGAAAAATATGATTTCAACAGAATCATTATTATCCATATATATCTTACCTTGTGGTAGCCGACATAAGAAGGCATTGGCAACGCCTTGGGATAATTGAAGTTACCGACCTTAGATTATCTTCATATCCATATGACAACAAAAGATCTGCCTGATAACAAAATTATATCAACATCTCCTCAAAGATAGGAATACAAAGGAAATACATGATTGATATAACCTCTAACAAGTAAGTGAATGCTTAAAATAAAGTGGTTTATATTCCATGTTCTACCAAAAAAACCAAATCATGACTACTTGATTAGCTAGTGCGTTCGCAAAACAGGACACATCCTTTACCAAAGCCACTAATTTTAACTGAAGCACGTATATCATACCTCATCAAGAACCAGGATTTCAAGTGATTCACTGACAGCAGTGGGCTCTAAAACTCCGGCAGCAAAGCATTTCGGAATGCAAGCAGGTGTGGAGACAAGAATCTCAGGCAGTGCAGCCAATGCATTACGCTGCAATAGAAACATTTCAAAACGTAACATTAAAATAAATATAGAAAAATCGACCAAATGCTTTTTAAGATGAGAAATGCAACACTAACCATATCAGTAGCAGGCATGCTACTAGTCAACTGTACTGCTTTCAATTGAACCCTACACAACTCGATAAGGGAAGAAACCTCTGTGTAGACCTGTATTTCCAATTCAAATGTCAGATGGATAACTGAAATCTTTGGGAGTAGGAAAAGATATGAAACGAATCCTTCAAAACATACCTGCTGGCATAACTCTCGAGATGGAACAAGAATAAAGGCAGAAGGAGCAAGCTTCTTCTTGCTCCCAGAATCTGCTGAAAAGAGCTTCTGGAGCAATGGCAAAAGGTAAGCCAAAGTCTTGCCTGAACCCGTCTTTGCCCTAGCAACTATATCTTTTCCTTCCTAGAATAACAACAGAGACAATAAAATCAGTCCCACGAAACAATTCACCACTGGAGATTAAACAGGTATCCACGAAATTCAAAAAAGGTAGAGACTTTATATATTTATATTACCAGAATATAAGGAATGGCTGATTGCTGAATAAGAGTGGGTTTCTCTATACTCTTTTTACTTAGGGCACGAATTAGACGAGAATCAAGCCCTAGCTCTTCGAAACTCTTCTCTACATCTTCTTCTACATTTTCTTCTTCTTCTTCTACTTCTTCTCCGACGTTTCTCTGTTCTTCTACTTCCTCTGCTTCCTCAACTTCTTCCATCACTTCCGGGTTCACATCCTCCACAGGTTTCACCTTCGTCTTACCCATCAGAAGTTTCCGGCGGCCCGGGTAAGGTTGAAAGTCCGAGTTAAGAGATGGAACAATAACCTTATAGAAATGCAAAAGACTTCACTTTAGAAGCAAACTACAGAGTAATAAATCAATATTGAGGTCTTAAGAGGAAATTTTTTCCGAAGAAGCTTACCTAGGAGGCGCGGAGCTTGAAAGCGGCGGAGAGGAGTTAGAAGAAGAAGAAGAAGGGTATTTGGGCTTTTGTGGGCCTTTATTAAATGGGCTTTAATATTTTGGCGGTTTTTTTGTTTGATGTCTTTCATAGTTTAATAAAATTAAATGCTGCACACATCACAATTGATGATGAAGATTGGAGATGCGTGTTCGGTGGAAAGTTTTCAGAAAGAAACGATTAGTATAAAATGCTTGTTTCGTCTCTATCTGAGCTTTGACTTGGGCGTTATCAACTTCGCCACGATCCCAATCGTATCATTACGAAATCAACCGACTTATTTTGAGAAATGGGTTCACTGAACAAGGACGGAGAGATGGAGCAGATCCGAGACGAGTTTACGGAGGCTATACTGTATGTTAATGGCGTTCGTAGAGTCTTGCCTGATGGATTAGCTCATATGACGCTTCTCGAATATCTCAGAGGTGCGTAACTATGGTCCTGGTGTTGGGAATGATTCAAACTACTCAAACAAGTTCATTTTTTTTTCAAATCAATTTTAGAATAGTGTCAGAGAGTATATTCCTACAGTATTATGTTTAAATAAAAAAAAAAAAGAATATTTCTACAGTATGTATCACTTAGCTGAGTTGTAAATTCCGGATTTTTACAAATCCAGATTATGTTTGATTTGATCCACTACTTTTCCTTAATTCGAAAAAAAGTAAGTGATTTGAGTGTGCATAGTAAGATTATGCTCCAGGAGCGAGATTCTAAATTTAAAAATGCGTTTCTTGTTTCCTTTAGATTTAGGACTGACCGGGACAAAGCTGGGATGCGGTGAAGGTGGTTGTGGGGCTTGCACGGTGATGGTGTCTAGTTATGACAGAAAGTCAAAGACTTGTGTGTACGTTTCTTTATCTTCTTCTCTGTTATGTTGCCTCTGCTTTACTTTTATAGATTCTTTTTAATCATATGGAAATTGTTATTGCAGGCATTATGCTGTCAACGCATGCTTAGCACCTCTGTATTCTGTAGAAGGAATGCATGTAATTTCCATTGAGGGAGTTGGGCATCGCAAACTCGGCTTGCACCCTGTCCAGGTACGTTTTACTTGATTCAGGTTCTACTACTTCTTATTTCTGGAACTTCGTTGTCACTGTTGTCATCTGAATTCTCGCAGGAGTCTTTGGCATCTTCTCATGGTTCCCAATGTGGGTTTTGTACTCCCGGGTTCATCATGTCAATGTATGCGTTGCTGAGGTCGAGTAAAAACTCACCTTGTGAGGATGAGATTGAAGAATGTCTTGCTGGAAACTTATGTCGCTGTACTGGTTATCGACCCATCGTCGATGCTTTTCGGGTTTTTGCAAAATCCGATGATGCTGTGTACAGTGGTGTATCGTCATTAAGCCTTCAGGACGGTTCAAGTATTTGCCCATCTACTGGCAAACCTTGTTCTTGTGGTTCAAAAACAACAAATGCTGCAGCCAATTGCAATGAAGATAAATTTCAGTCCATCTCTTATAGTGATATAGACGGAGCTAAGTATACGGAAAAAGAGCTTATCTTTCCCCCTGAACTATTGCTGAGGAAGTTAGCTCCTTTAAAGTTAAGGGGAAATGGGGGGATTACCTGGTACAGACCCGCAAATCTTCAGAACTTGCTTGAGCTCAAAGCAAATTATCCTGATGCAAAACTACTGGTAGGTAATACGGAGGTGGGAATTGAAATGAGACTGAAGAGGTTACAGTATCAGGTGTTAATATCTGTTGCTCAAGTCCCAGAACTCAACGCATTGAATGTCAATGACAATGGGATAGAGGTTGGTTCAGCTTCGAGACTTTCTGAACTCCTGCGGTTATTCAGGAAGGTAGTAAAGGAGCGTCCTGCACATGAAACTTCAGCATGCAAAGCTTTTATTGAACAGCTGAAGTGGTTTGCTGGCACACAAATAAGAAATGTTGCTTGCATTGGTGGAAACATCTGTACAGCTAGTCCAATATCTGATTTAAATCCTCTTTGGATGGCTTCTAGAGCAGAATTTCGGGTAATCAACTGCAATGGAGATGTTAGATCTGTACCTGCAAAAGATTTCTTCCTTGGTTATCGTAGAGTGGATATGGGTAGCAACGAGATCTTGTTGTCGGTATTCCTTCCATGGACAAGGCCCTTAGAGTATGTGAAAGAATTTAAGCAGGCCCATCGCAGGGATGATGATATAGCTATTGTCAATGGTGGAATGCGTGTCTTTCTTGAACAGAAGGGACAACAATTATTTGTTTCTGATGCTTCAATTGCTTACGGTGGTGTAGCTCCTCTTTCGTTGTGTGCGAGAAAGACTGAAGAATTCTTAGTTGGAAAGATTTGGAATAAAGGTCTTCTGCAAGATGCGCTTGAGGTCATACAGAAAGATGTTTTGATTAAGGAAGATGCTCCTGGGGGAATGGTGGAATTTCGGAAATCTCTTACCCTTAGCTTCTTCTTTAAATTTTTCTTATGGGTTTCTCATCATGTACATAATGTAAATTCCACGATAGAGACCTTCCCACCCTCCCATATGTCAGCTGTGCAACCTGTTTCTCGGTTATCTAGAATTGGAAAACAAGATTATGAAACAGTAATGCAGGGAACATCTGTTGGCTCATCGGAGGTCCATCTTTCAGCGAGAATGCAGGTATGCTGATATATTTACCGCACCCAAACTGTTTCTCCATTTTGATTCTCATTTTGGTGGTTTTATTAGCCACTTCAATATAGCGGCACTTCTTTTACCTTTCTCTAAGGTGACATAGGTCTACTAATTAATATTTTGTTGAGTGATGTTTGTGATTAGAGAGTAAGTTAGAGAAGATGCTGAGTGAGTGTGTATATGTCATACAAAATTTAGAAGTTGGGTTAGCATCTACGTGGGCTAATTTTCTGGCTTCTGTTTGACTTTTTTTCAAATAGCTTATGTTATATTTTGGTCAACTCCAAATTTCACCATTATCAATTCCACAAGCTTAATTATGTACCTGTCCCCAAAATATCTTCAAGCTTGGTAAAGTGATAAGTTTGACATCTGGTTTTTGGGTGGTTTTGTCGTTGATAGTTGAGTACCTCTAGCTAATCAAAGTCTCTTTTGGTGTAATTCGTAATAAGCTGCTGAATAGTGACTAGTTAACCAGTTTACCTCAAACTCATATTATTTCATGTAGGTCACTGGGGAAGCGGAATATACAGATGATACACCAGTACCTCCTAATACCTTACATGCTGCCTTTGTGCTAAGCAAAGTGCCGCATGCCCGCATCCTTTCAATTGATGATTTGGTTGCTAAATCTTCACCTGGTTTTGTTGGTCTGTTTCTTGCCAAAGATGTTCCCGGGGATAATATGATTGGAGCAATTGTTGCTGACGAAGAATTGTTTGCTACCGATGTGGTCACATGTGTGGGACAAGTAAGAATATTTGAAACCTAAAGTTTTACATTTGTACATTTTTCTCAGCTTTTCCATATTGATTATGTGTCTTAGAAGAAGTATAACATGCTCTGACATTATTCCTTAGTTTTTGTACTCTTATCATCAGAAAGTAAACGAGCAAGGTTTTTTATCTTTAAAATGTAAATGAAAGTTCTCATATACATCCAGTTATTTTGACAGATATATGTATATCTTTGGTTCCCAATTATTTCATTAAATTGACTTCGGTATCTCAGGTCATTGGTGTGGTTGTCGCGGATACACATGAAAATGCAAAAGATGCAGCAGGAAAAGTTGATGTTAAGTATGAGGAACTACCAGCAATATTATCTATCAAGGAGGCTATTATTGCTAAAAGTTTCCATCCACACACGGAGAAAAGGCTAAGAAAAGGAGATGTAGAGCTGTGCTTTCAATCTGGTCAGTGTGACAGGATAATAGAGGGAGAGGTTCAAATGGGTGGTCAGGAACACTTCTACTTGGAGCCTCATGGTACTTTGGTTTGGACAATAGATGGAGGCAATGAAGTTCATATGATTTCATCCACACAGGTAAGCATAATATTAGTGTTTTGCCATATACTTCACTGAGTAAAATTCACTTTGATTCATGCTTTGTACGACCAGTTTATGACCATCAGCCCTCTGTAAAAGAAAACCATTTGGCATCAGCCAGTTTAAGATATTAAATTATAATCCTTTCTATGCTTAGAAAATATTGGGGTTATGGTTTATATGCAGGCTCCTCAAAAGCACCAGAAATATGTGTCTCATGTACTTGGTCTTCCGATGTCTAAAGTGGTATGCAAAACCAAACGAATTGGTGGTGGCTTTGGCGGTAAAGAAACAAGATCAGCTTTCATTGCTGCTGCAGCTTCTGTCCCATCCTACGTATTAAATAGACCTGTGAAACTCATACTGGACAGAGATGTGGACATGATGATAACTGGTCATCGTCATAGTTTCCTTGGAAAGTACAAGGTATTTCAGTTTTTTCCCTGGAATTTCCATTTGTGAGCAGACAATGAAGTGGAAAGGACTGAGAACAGTTGAAACAGTGGGGAATAGATTGTTAGACAAACTAAACAATTCCTTTTATTTGTGTTCTGTTATCTTACAGGTTGGATTTACAAACGAAGGAAAAATACTGGCGTTGGACCTTGAAATCTACAACAATGGTGGAAATTCTTTGGATCTTTCCCTTTCCATTCTCGAGCGTGCCATGTTTCACTCGGATAATGTTTATGAGATCCCGCATGTGAGGATCGTAGGGAATGTTTGCTTTACTAATTTTCCCAGCAATACTGCTTTCCGAGGGTTTGGAGGGCCCCAAGGTATGCTTATAACTGAAAACTGGATTCAGAGAATCGCAGCTGAGCTTGATAGAAGCCCTGAAGAAATCAAAGTGAGTTGAATATATTCCAAACATCTTCTTCTCCTGAAAGTTTGTAGGAATTGGTTCTCCTTTTGTCAGTTGTATTTTAATGTTTTCTGGTGTATTTAATTTACTTCAGGAGATGAACTTT